ATCTTTTGTAACAAAAAGCTGCTGAATTTAACACAGGACTTAAAAGGAGCGAGTTCTAAATTCCACAATTTCGAACTAATTAGTTCGCTCCACATTAGGCTAAGTGTTTGGCCGACCTTTTCCTCCAATTTATTTTGTGCGTCCTTGTGTTATATTGCGAAATGGAGGGACCTACAATTTTACGCCTCCTCCGACCGGCAAATGAAATTTTATGAGAAGCTTTTTCAGGACAGAAATACATTCGGAATTAGAAAAACATTTTCTAATTCAGATATTGCTTGGACCAGGGATCGAACACAGGTCCTGAGGAGTGGTAGTACGTACCTATAGCCACAGTGGACTATTACGAAGAGGAGAAAAAACAGCACTAACCTGCTGAGCCACTTCCTACCCTAAATAAATTGAGGACGCTCAAAAGTTCCATCAACGATATCTCTTCCAAACCTATCAAGTGGTGAGACCATACATAGGTAGGTCATTTAATTCATCCAAATTCTCTTCGCGACACAGTACTCTGAGATAATGCCAGTAGGAGCTCTTGTATTAGCTAAAATATACTCATGTTAGGAAGGATGCAACAGTATTGCCATGAAAAGACTGACTAATCTTCAGGTCCTCCGACTAGAGAACGGCGGCGGTTTCCTGCAGTATCTGTGAACCATCAGCTTAGATGGATATACATACATACCATTATCTGCCATTGGTAGCCATCGTTCCATTCTTTTCTGGTCCAAAACCATAGATGTGTCTTTGTATTGAGGTTCCAAACCGGTATAAGGCAACTTTGATTCCATGAAGCGGTTGCAGGCATCCCTCCCCAGGTGCGCTATTTAGCACCCTCGATATGCTTAAGCATGCGAGTCTTTTCTCTTTACCAATTATTTAATTTCCATTCCTTTTGACCGATTACTGTGCTCAAAATTGTCAAATGTTTTCCAAGAGTCAGTTTGCTGACTTAATAAGCCGTTAGATTCCTCTAAGTCTCTATTTTAAATTCTTTTTTAAACTTAGTTTAGAATCAAGAACGGCAACAAGGTTTATGGATTGGAGAATCAGAGTTGCTTTCCTTAAACTTGGCCAAGAAAGGGCATTAATCTTTGATTTTGTTGTGAACAAGACCATTTCTGTTTTGGAGGAATTAACCTTGAAGCCTTGATTGAGCGCTCATCAAAATACCTCATTTAATCCTACAACTCACAGAAAGTTCAGAGATGCCTTCTTAGCTGAGTCAAAAAATTGATAGAAATAATTTGACCAGGTCCACTTTATTCAGATTTCATTTGAGCCTGCAGAGCCTCGTGAGTATACCTGTTATAATTCCTACCTTATCTTTAAGCAGGTTAATAAGAAGTCTATATCTTGTCCGCTACCTCATTTACCTTTATTCCCTTGTGACGTGGTGCCCAAAGTAACTGAATGCTATTGTTTTCAATAGAAACCCTCAAGTATGAGTTCAATGAATACCCAGTAAACCAGCCAGGGTATATTCCTTAAAGTCTAATGATCTAAGTGCCGTGACGGTACGCATATTGCGGATGCTAGTCCTGATTTGTATGTATGTACATATGTGGGTCAACCTTTTCGTATACATACAGTCCCATCCATATTAGAAAAGATTCCCATTGTATACTCACCTGCTTCCTATTTCTCAGGAGTTCCCACTTTGATGTAATGTATCCTTTGAACATCAGACTTGTGGGCCTGAACCTGTTTGCCAGTGTATAATCATCTTTCCTTGGCTTTGGAATGAAGGCTAACTAACTTTTTTCCAAAGATTCCGCACGTGTTCACGTGACAGACACACCCAATTAATTCTTATTAGAGCCCCTATACGCCTATATCCCACACACTTTAGCATCTTCGAATACACACAAGCTGGACCCGGTAACGTACTCAGAGTCATCACACCAGTCTGCTACTTGGATGCTTTAAATTTGGTTAATGAACGCTAGCAAATAGTTTAGCATCCATAGCGTAAATAGAGTTGATATGGGGAGACCAGCTAATTGCGAGCGGTTGGAAATTGTCAAACTCATTCTAGTTCCGAAACATAAATTTGTTGTACCCAATGACTTCCCTGCAGGGAAGTTGACGATGCAGCAGCAATAAACTTGCTTCACATGTTGCATATATCCAAATTCCATAACCGAATATTTGAAGGTTTGTGAGTGCTTGGGTATAGTGCGCTGGGTAGGTAAAACTATATAATAATAGTAAATAATAATAATAAATAATAAATGAACCAATTTGCCATGAGCAAGCAAATATACCGCAAATTATATTACGTACGCATGCAAGTATGTATGTACGCATGTTTTGCATGTGCATTGCCCTTATGCATTTGTGCTATTTTTGTTCCCATACAATCAGAAAGTAGTAGAAATAGTATATGCAATTTTTGTGATATAAAATGACAAACAAACAAGCAAATGATTTGTTGCAATAGTTGCAGTAATACTTGCCATTGTATGGCGGCTTGTTGTGAAAGGCGTAAATACATTTATTTCCAGCATTTAGCTTCGAGCTGCAAGAGTGTCACATGCAACGCTTAAGCAACGCAATCCGGCTATTATTGGATGTCTTTACATTTACATACATATATGCACAAAAAGGTGGCTGAGAGGAGATAGAGTACCTAAGTATCACGTTCGGTATACGGTGACTGACAATTCAAATATGCGACTTAATTATGTATATAGGTTAAGTTAAGCTACATACCTACTTTCATATCTTTGCAGATGTTTTCAGTGGTACAAGTACTTAATAAAAAAATTATAAACAAATAAACTGCTGGTTTTTTGTTTTTTTCATAAACAATTAAGCTATTTATTTATAACGAACAACATCTTCTTCGCTTTTAGCGATTTTGTGCTATATGTACAAACATCTATTTTGAAATTATGAAAATTTATTAGAAATAATGTGACAAGTTTCCACGCAACGTTCAACAGAAAATATAGCAAAATTAAAGAAAGATTAGCTCTCGTAAAAATTAGTCATTTATATTAGCCTCTCCACACATCCTAATTGAGCGCGAATTCTTGGGATATATCTCCCTCATGGAAGTCGCTTTTGTTATTATTAATATTTTTGTTTTCTTTTTGTGGTTAAGTGTTTCCTTTCCCCTCAATGGTAATGATGAAAGTCATGATGATCGTAATGATGATGGTAAGGATCAAAAGCTATGGGATGATAGGCTTTGATTATAGGCGCTGCATGATATGTCTTCACAATGGGATGCACAATTGTCTTCAGCACTGGCACTACAATTGGCTTGATGATGGGCGCACTGTGGATCACCGTTGAACTTTGATGTGAAATGGCAGCTGGTATATGCACCAATTTAGTCACATGCAATGGTTCGTGATGATGATGATGATGCAGCAGTGGGTAGTCAATGTGTGGATAGTGACCATGCAGATAGCCTGGACGTGCGCTGGCCAAGGCGACGAGTGTGGAAAGTATTAGCGACTGAAATTGAATTAAAATGAGGTGTTAGTGAATAAAACAAAAGTTATTCATAGTAAGTTACTATATATTAAGCTTATTTCTCTATCCTATGTTGAAGTTTAAAGAAAGTGGATTCAATTAAAATCGATAATTTATATGAAATTAAGTTATTTCGTAGAGCTATCCCCGAAATCTCAACTGAACACGTAGAGACTTTTTTTTTAATACACATTTCAGAAGCGTTCCTTTGGCTGAATTTCGACCAAAATCGCTGCCTAACGGTTATATAAATATATCACAGGTGAGACCTAATCCCGCCACGATCCTTACGCTGAATTTTTCAGCGGCAATGACTGGATTTGCGGAGTCCCATGCGGTCGTCTATCAAATTGTCTACCGATCGACGCAAGCGTTTCTCAGGTGGGCACGTTTGCAATTAAAAAATTTCTGTAGTTCCAGCCATACCATAATTGTACGATGAAAAAAAACTGGGACGGTGGCTCAGGTTTCGAAAACTACTCTAGACACCGTGAGATAACCTCACCAAACCGCGGATGGCTTTGCCTAAAAGTCTGCGGCCGTTACTCTTACATTCCCTGCACTAGATCAGAGGTTCCCAAACATTTTTTTTCGTGGACCACTTTCAAAATTTTACAGGTTTGGACCCCCTGCTGCTACATTTCTACAATATTCCCAAAATACGCCAAAAAATGTGAAGATTAGAACGAAAGATGGAATATGCAAGTTTTTACAAGTAACATTCGCTGACCTACTTAAAAAAGAGTTCGGAAAGCCATCAAAATTATATTTTTCATATTAGATGGATGGATTAGATGGCTTCAAATAAGATGGAAGCTTTATTCCTCAGTGAGGAATTTTTGCGATCTCTGACTTAAAATACACTACTCAAAAAAATTTAGAGAGGCTTTAAAAAAGAAAATTAAAACTAAATATAGAGCCTATCGGATCCATATGCCGGTCTAGCTAAACAATTCTTTTTTTCTCGCAGATGGACCGTAAAAAAAAAACAAATTTTGAAAATTATTTTTCCGCGTTATCTATCAGGATTACATAAGAATCGTAGCTCCTAGAATTTTTAGACAAGAAATGTGAAAACTAGAACGCTAAAACTTCAAAGTGCTTTTTTAAAGTCTCAATACGACCATTTTCCACCGAAATAAAGCCTGTTAAAAGTCACCGCAAAATTTGGATTTTATTCTACCCTTACGGTTTTTGAGTAGTGTATTATCTGCTACATTGTTAGGCAAGGCCAAGCCAACACTTTTATTCTTTACTATCGAAGCCAGATAAATTTTTGTGGACTCCACTTACAACTCGTAAGCCCCCCTATTTTTTTCACGCCAACGTAGACCACCGTCGAGTCTCCCGTGAATCCCTGGGAGTCCACCTGCACCACTTTGGCAAACACCGGACTAGATCCTAACATGATCAGAGAAGGGATCAGAAAAGAGCTATTAGGGCTGAGAGAAATACACTGGAAAAGTACCACAGGATTTCGTCTAGCCGTAATATTTATGGGAGGGCGTCGGTTGATGTAACCTGATGAAACTAAGAGCACTATGCTACGATCAATGTCACACCTGCTGATATTATGGGTTAGTGAAGAACGGTTTTGGTTCAGAATTCGAGCCAATCCTAGTCTACCAACTGAATTCTAAATTGGAAAGCATCATTAACTGAATCAAAAGATTAGAAAATCCATTCAAGGTTCAACAGCCGCTGAAGTATTAATGATAATCTCAACAATTCGTTGAGAGCACAGTCGATATTTTTTAAGGAACTCTCGGCCTCTGCATCTTTGCATTCGGTCTATTTCATTACGATGAATAGCGGCGTTAGTGCAGGAAGCTACACGACAGATAAATTTATGACCTAAGCAGCCTTCGAGATTGCTTTTACGTAAGGGTATTTCTACCAGAGTTCACGGGCACTGTACTAGGAATGATGGATTTAACGACGGTTTGGAGGGCACAGAGCGAACATTTTGTAAGATACTTCTTGCCAGCGACATCATAGGCGATCATGGACCTTTTTAGGCCTTAATTTTGACAGGAACTCTGATCACAGATTGCCCGTTGGAAATCCAAAGCTTAAAAAATCACGGCTTGACCTGAAGACTTTTTTAACTTCTTTCCTTGTTTAGTATTTTTAGTTAAGTAGCTTTTAGTGGTAGCAGCAGAAAAGTCAGTACAACCTAATGGAATTGTGTCCCCCCTAGGAGCAGCCTAAATACTTTAACCTAACCGAATCTTGGCAAAACTTCTAGACCGGTCTCAAAACAAAAACCCTCCTTCGAAAGGGATGCACTATCTTTACAGTTTCATTCCCGATTGAACGCCCCGAAGTTGTGCATTCCATTCACTGCCATTAAGGCCCCAATCATTTCAACAACAGAAGGAACTAACTCCATTAAATTTCTTTTTCATTTGCTGCGCTTTTCTCTGCCTGCTCAACTTACCAGCTTCAACATTTTTACAGGCATCCAACCGCGTATCTACCGAACAGTGAATAATCCTGCGTGAATCCTTAATTCCGCGCTGCCCGAAAACAACTCACTACAAATTAACTGCGGGTTTTATTTCGCTACTTGCACGTTTGCGATTACTTTTTCGATTTTTTTTTTGATTTTTTGGTTGCGTTGCGTTGCGCTGCAATTTGAATGAGAACATCGACTGATGCCACCACCTCGCAGTTCACACTCTTATATATTTTTTCTTTTAATAGTTGAAAAGTGTATTTCAATTGTATGTAACCTAAACCATCGGCCACTTAGTGTCTTAATGCAGCAGACTTAGACGCAGCCATCGACATCACATTGGTAACAATGGCAATGTGCAATAGCTGCACCACCAACAACAACAACAACAACAAAAGTGATAGATGAAAACCAAACGGTTAGTGCAACAATAATTGGCCTCAACAATTACTGCTGCTGCCACATTGTTGCCGTTGCCGTCGCCGTTGCCGTCGCCGCTGATGCTGATGCTGATGCGGCAGCTGTTTCACTTACTTTGCATTTGTAGATATGTATGTAGGTAAGCACTTGCTAAAGGTACCAATTGTTGTTTTAGTTGTTGTAGTACAAATTTAAGTCATCGCCATTACGTGCATATCTATGTATACCCAAGTATTTCATATACATATCTACATATGTACTTGATTGCGCGTTAATCATGCCGTCTGCAAAATATGTACATTCTTCCATAAGTTGATGTTCAGTCGCTCATCTTTCATTCATTCACTCGTGAGCTCATTGCCGTTAAGCAAATACCGTTGCACATTGCGCCGCAGGTTTTGATAGTATTCACCAAAAAAAAAAAAATCTAACAGATATTTAGCATCCGTTGCCGCCAGAAAATCAGCGATTAAAATGTGCATTCTTGCTAACAAACACACAAACAAATATTAGCGTATGCATTTATGTGCAATTTCTGCTATTTGTACCAGTCTGCCATGCATAAGTGTTGTATTGGTATGTATTTTTTTTTTGTCAACTTTGCCGGCAGCTCGAAACTCTTCATTGCCTTTGGCTTGACACATCGTCTCTGCGCGGCACTTCGACTTCCACTTCCATTGCCGGCAGCCAGTTGCATTGTCCCAATTACATATTACACTTGAATGTTTATGTATGTAGTCAAGCTAGTGATGTCAGTTTAATTGCATAAAAAACTTAAGTTCTTGTATTGGCAGTGATTTGTATTTATTTATATTTATACGTGACAATGACATGATCGTCGCGACTGAGCAGTTAAAGCGCTAAACAAATGCATTACAAACAAATTAAAAAAATTAAAAAGTTTCCGCTCCGTTTTTGCGAGTATTAGTCTTTGGGCTAGATTCCACCGAGCTTTTGAGCCCTGTTGCCTTTAGAAATGTAAAATATTTAATAAACTGAAAATACTTTCAAAGAAAAGCTTTCTTAAAATACATCTATTAATATAATTGAATTTGCCTTTTTTAAATAGGTGGCAATCCTGTTAAAAATATTTTCTTAATAAAGCTTTCTTCAATCGAGTTCGTTTGGCAACCATATTGTAAAGTTTCGACGAACTTATATTTTGAAGCAGAATTTAACTTTTTAAGTAGGTGGCATCCCTTTTCAAGAAATATGATGTTTGTTAATCCAGATAATAAGCCAACGTCCAAGTTTATGCAAGCAAAGACCAGTAGACGTATTCACATAATCACTCACAAACTTTCCCAATTTTAATGTTAATAGAACTTCATTTGACTTAACAATTTTATTACTAAACTGGTGTCAACCCTCGTCAAAAATATATATAAATATATACAGCTTTCGCAAAACTTTTCTCTTTGAAACGCAAATTGAAATATTTTGTTGAACTTCTTAATTATATTGACTTAGAATTCCTAAAAAGGTGGCAGCTCTCTTTAAAAATATGTATGAAAAAAAGCTTTCACAAATCTCTATAATTTGATACCAATTTTAAAATTTTTCACTTAAATTGTGCCCCAAATTGATTCAAACTTTTTGAACAGATGGCAACCCTTATAAAAAATATTTTTGTAATGAATCGTCTTAACGCCTTTGGTTTGTTGCTACTTTAGCTTATCAATTAATCGATGTTAACTTTTTAAACAGGTGGCAACCACCTTAAAAATATTTCCAAAATAAATCATTTTGGTACCACTTTCGTTTCACATCTGCCCTCTTGTAATATTTTATTTACCTTATTAATTAATTGATTTTTACTTTTGAAAAAGCTGGCAACTCTCTTAAAAAAAATATGCAAGACCTATCTGTGTGCCAAATTGTATTCAAATACCTCCGGCTTTTTTAGCGTGAAAAATCAGCAAACATACTCACACACACACACTCACTCACAAGCTTTCCCATTGGCAAAATTAGTAGGAAGAAGAAAATAGGAACTTTCGATTTGGAAAGATAAGGAAGGAAAGATAAGGATAATATATTTTTAGAATCTGTTTAAAATCACATTTCGCTTGTGTAGCAACAATTAATTTCCCGCAGGGCCCAACCTATACAGACACACATACAAATGTTGGTAATTGTAATTTGCTTGCAAATATAAAAGCAAAAAAAAACTAAAAAAATACCAACTAATTCTTATAAAAATAAAGAATAGCAGCTTGCAACATAATTTCTGCTGCCGCCGGTAAAGTTTTTTTAAATCTTATTTTTGCTATTTTTTGTATCTTTTGCTGACGACCTTCATCTGTAGCAAAAGCAGCAGCGGTGGCAGCAACACTCGGAATAGCCAGTAGCTTTGGCAGCACCAGCGGCAGTTCTGGCAGTTGGCTTGGCACTTCTTATCTCAGCTCATTTAATATTCTTGCTGCCATGTTGATTGTTGGTTGGTAAGAAAACAGTAGCTGGCTTCTTTGGCATAGCCACGTTCGGCGTCATTTTAATTGCAGTTCGCATGCGACTGAACAACATAATTTGAAAATGTCCGAAATGCGCAGCGGAAGTTCTCACTTGCGTAATTTTGACGTGGGACGTGTATAAAGATTTGTTCTTTTCTAATCAAATGATTTTGTCCATTGTTCATTGGCTATGACTTAGTTCTCGAAAATGTATGAAGGTAAGTGAAGGTATGTGTATACCATACTCGTTGCCTGATGGCGTGTAAATTTGCCAGTAAATATTTAACGAATGTTTGTAATTAATTCTTTTTTTTAGATTTTTTATGCCAAAAACCAACTACGTAGTTAGTATCGCTCGTATGTATGTTTATAACGTGTCTTTAGTCTTCGCTCTTCATGTACCGTTTAACTAGCTTTTGAAAAGTTCAATAACGTTCTTTGTTTTGTCAAGATCTTTACTAAATAAATAACAACGAAAAGTAGTCAGTCGCTTTTTTGTTTAACTATTTTATCGCAGTTACATATGTATCTATATGTATAAAAGCAGGGCCGGATTTAAGCACAGGCTACATAGGCGCTAGCCAAGGAGCTCGCGTCACAAGGAGGCCAGCGCCACATGAAAAATTAAGAAAGAAAATAATCTAAAAATATAAACATATAACGCCAAAGATTGCTTCCCGAATGTAGAAGATGCATTAATAATGTACCTTATGATAAAAAACCAAGATCGGACGTCCCCAAAACATTGCCAAAAATCGACGCAGTTTTTTAGCAACTTCAAACTTACACTTTGTTATATTAAAATTGAATCGGCTATAAAACTGCTTACTAAGAATTTTTCTGAAAAATCTGATTAGAAATCTGCAAATTTATTGAATTTTCCTAAGTTTTGCACGAAGGTAGAGATTTCGTTTTAAAATCTTTTTGTTATATGTTTTGTTTGAACTATATTTTTTATAAAAAATTAGCGAAGAATAATTAAAATAAAAAATTTTGCATACATTTCGAAAAATTCTCTGCACCAATACTTTTGTCCGGCTCTGTACATATGTGCAAAATTACAAAACGTTTTTTTCCATTCAATACCCATTCTTCTATGCAAAAAAAAAAAATATATAACGTGGTTTAAAATTTACAAAGCATGTGTTGTTAGATTGTATAGAAGACCGCATCGTAGGTTTTAGCTGTAAGGTTAGGCAATGTATACAACTTTGTTTACAAAAACTAAAATCTGGAGGAGACCCATTTGGTGGTCGCCATTTGTCTTAATACAACCAGGGGGCGTCCGCACCACGGAAAGAGCCTAGGGGCCCATAGCTCCTGAATACGGCACTGTAAACAAGTATGTATGTATGTACACAGTAAGTAGAGTAGTAGAATCAGTTATTGCATAATCTTTTGTAAATTAACTCATGTGGAACGAATAATTGCTCACGTCTATGTTCACGATCATTTCATGAACATCTGCCGAACGGCGATGGCATTTAAAGCACAGTGGGGCTGAATGTTGTAAAATTTTAGACAATACAAATAAAAACTAGACACAAACATGATTCTTCTAAAAACAAATATTTTTAAAGCAAGCTTTCAAAATATATCGTAAATAAATTTTGAAATAAATTAGTTGGTTTTTTGCTTAAATTCAGAAAATTACTTCCGCAATGCAAATTTTCTTGACATTTTTGTTTACATATATTCGAACCACGGAGAACTCAAGATTCCCTGATCAACCTAAAGGCTGTGTGGCAATTACAGTGACTTTTTTATTTACGACACAATAACCTTAAATGCAACACTGAAACTTTTATGAAACACTTTTTAGTAAATGACTATCAATTTTTGCGCCATTTACTTTTCCACGAAAGCAGACAATCTCGTGTATTTTGATGAAAATGGAAAATGTTAATTTCGTGTGCTAATCTAATGAATGAAGAGATTAAAAAATTGGAAAACGCTTTCCGAACATATTCCTGGTATATACGGCACCGGACAAAAAGTATTTATACAAAGGTTTTCTGGCAATGTAGTCAAAGGTTTTTATCCTAATTTCTTTTCGTACATTTTTTATAATAATATACATAGTTCATACTGCAACAAAAAATATATCAAATAAAATCTGTAAATTTTCTGCAAAACTTAGGAAAATTAAATAAATTTACATAATAATTTGCAACTTTCTAATCGGATTTATTAGAAAAGTTATGCATTTTTATAGCTAATTCAAATTTAGTACAATAATGTGCAGATCTGAATTAGCTAAAATATCGCGTTGATTTTTGGCAATATTTTTTTGTTAACGATGTCAGTCAGTTTTTTCCATACGAAGGTTGTATGTATGAATGGTCGAATACATATGTTTTTTTTATGGAGCAAATGGGCAACACCTTCAACAAAAAAAAAAAAAAATAAAAAATTGCCAAAAATCGACGCAAGTTTTTGGGAACTAAAAAATGCTATTGAAAGGTTAAGCAAAGTATACAGTTCTCAAGAAAACCTGTAAATTCAAATAAAATTACGTTTAAGCAACTGAAATAATGAAAAATATTTCTTCAGATTTTTCTTGAGGGTTGTATGTTAAGGTTTATCTTGGTTAACACATCGTCGCTGAAATGCAAAAAAGCCGTAACTAATTAAAATTTTTTATTGCGATGAAATGCATCATAATCAATCAAAAAGTGAATTTCGGATTTTTAGTTAGTTACGGGTTTTTGTATTTCAACTGTGGGAAAGGGACTTACTTGATCGGTGCTTGTCATATAGTACAGTGTGGACTGTCTGTAAATTATATTAAAGCTAGTGTGGTTTTCTTCAGAAAAAGCAGAAGCAGTTAGGGTTTGAGTGTTCCGCTGTTCAATTTCTTTGACATGTATGTATATTAGGTGGAACTTTAATTCTCCCACACCTTATAATTGTCCAAAATGGAAAAAATATACCCCTGTTTTTGAATCAAAAAGTATAGTAGTAAATTGGATAGAATTATAATCTATAACAATAAAGATCTTTGGGATCGCGGACTTCTAAAGAAGCTAATTGTACTTTTAAAATCTTTATTATAATTTATATTGCAACTTAAGTCACCTCCGTGCTACTGTCTTCAATGAAGCATGAGTTCTGAAAGGCAGCCGCTGAATCTCATATACAGGGTGATTCAATAAGATTGCAGATTTTCTTATATAAATAAAACACAACAAAATTTGTTGAAATGATTTTTTTAATTTCATCATGGTTTTTAGTCTATAGAACTAATGCATGAAATAAAATAACCGCCAAATGGCCATCACGACTCCTCTGGTAACACAGGTTGCGCAAATAAGAATTTTTCATAATTTTTTGCCATAGTTCCGGTTGTATATCATTTATAACGTGGATGATTTCGTTCTTCAGCTCTGGAATCGTCTCGGCCTTAGAACACTTTTTACTTTTCACGTAGCCCCAGAGAAAGAAGTCCAAAGGTGTCAAATTATTGGATGTCGGAGGCCATTTGACCTCGTTGTTTCGTGAGGTAATGCGTTCTGGAGATTTCGTTCACAATACGTTCATTGTTTCCGACGCTGTATGGCAAGTGGCCCCGTCCTGTTGAAATCACATATTGTCTAAGACAAGTTCATCTAATTCAGGCCATATAAGGTTTGTTATCATGTCAAGATAACGTTCACCGTTGACCGTAACAGCGTTACCGCCTCGAATTTAGGTTGTCGCGGCCTGGTCTACACTTTCGACAGCAGTAATATTTTCAGCCGAACGACCCAGTTTCTTCGAATTTCTGCTCCATGACTAAGCTTGCAAAAGCTTGAAGTACCAATTTTCTGAAAAAAAACCATAACATTTCACAAATAATTGCTGAAAAATATTTGCATTACCCCTGAAGCACCCTGTATCCACTTTTTTTCGATTATATTAGTTAACTTAAAGTGCATTCTGTGTAATACTCGTATTAAAAAAGAATGTAGATCAATAAAGAAATATAAATCAAAACCTCGACGGTGGTTTTTGTAATAACAATTTGCATGAGCTCTGCTTTAGTTTCTCTGCTACATACTTGTTCTTGTTTTCCGTAATGGTCCTTGGTTGGTTGTGTGCATAAACGAGGTACTCGTGTCAAAAGTTGGGAAAAACATATGGTATGTGTATTTGTAAACACGTACTCAAGTGAAAATGTCAAGGAATGGCTATGTTGCTTGTAAATTTTCTGCCCACAATATTTGCTATGCGGATGACCACTATTCACTGAATGCCATGCAAGAGATGAACTTTACGACAAGAAGTTGAAGGATGCCCAAGTGATCTTGTTTGAATTATTTAAGTGCCCAAAAATGGTCTGATATATTTTCGATGAATGCACATTAGGATGGTCCAAAATAAGTAAATACGGGATTTTAATGCTCTCACCTAGGGTTGTTCTATATCGAAAAAAATAAACTTCTATATTTTTTTTTGGGGAAAAACAACTCTTCGTAGAAATGTTATAGAATTCTTGCAAATCAATCAGCCTTATCATGGGTTTAATTTTCCCCGAACCGGTTCACTCTTTTCACTTTTGGTTTCCATGGTTTTACTATGGGCGGTTGACAAATATTCGGGTGAATTTTTTTTCAGGCGAAACTCAGAATAAGGCAGAATATCTCTCGATTCGGAAAACTGTGGTTCTCTTCAAGAGGTTTCCAGTAACAATACCCAATTGTTTATTTAACAATTTTTTAATACTTTTATTCATTCCCCAATTGCATTTTCTCGTGGTTTTGGCGGACATATAAAATATAGTTACTATGAAAAATTGGTTAAATAAATATCTGGGTATTATTATTGGGAATCTTCTGAAGAATGCAAAACTTTTGAACGCTTTGAGAAACTTCTAAATAGTTTTTGATATATAACAATCCTAGGGGGTAAGAGCATAAAAATTCCGACTTTACTTTTTCACATGCATTTTTGAACCACCAAGCCACAAGACTGAATCACGAAATTACGCATTCTTGGAATTTTCCGTTAAAAAGAAGCATTACTGGCTGCGTTGTGTGGCATGTGGCCTCGCATTGTTGAAATCATATTTCGGCTAGGCTGAAATATAAAATTTCAGAACAGAAAACGGTATTAATCATAGTAAAAAGAGCGATCAGAATTTACGGTTTCGGAGTCTGCTTCGTCGTTCTTGAAGAAGTAAGGCCTGATGGCATTACCTTTTATGGGTACAAGTGTCTACTTGTGGCTGTTCGCTATCCGAGATTTGGCAGTTCTTCTTATTAACATAGCCGCCGGGCGTGAGATGTGCTTCATTTCTAGTGCTGAATTTCCACTAAGTATAAGATAGATTGTTAGTTATAGCACTGCGACTGTTCTCTCAGTTTGGTCTTTTCCTTTCTGAGCATTTCCATTATGGTGTTGAGTCGCACTGCAAGGAAGGGCTCGGGTCTAATCGGGGTCGAGCCATTGACCACTCTGGCCAACTGATCAGCTTCCTCATTTCTCTCGACCACCATGTGCCAAATGAGTTGAATATCATTAACCTCAGTCAGAGGATTAAGCCTCTTTACGCACTCCAAAACTAAAGACGAGTTTATCTCGAATGAGCCTCAAGGGCCGCCTGACTATCACTCGCATTAAGTAGCCTATCGCTTCGATAATTTCTTCGAGTGTCAATCTCACAGAGAATGATGGAAAGATGCTAGGGAAGGTTTCCAGGGGCACCGAAAGCTTCAGCCAGGGGCTATACACGCCTGTTCTAATCCCCTAAGGCGTTTTAGAGCCGTTAGTATACCACTGTAGTGTGCTCGCCTGTATGTGATGTATGTGACTATAAGTGTAATGCTGAGTTTCCACTATGCATTACATGGCAAAAATTGTAATGACAAAGTTGGCATTGAAAAACATTCGTGTCATAACATTAAAAATAGTCATTAAATTCATTTCCACATGGCACTTTTAAATGCCACAAATTTTTTGTCATTTCAATGCCCAGTGCAAATTCGGCATAAGTTCTTTATTGCCACGAAGCATTAATTGACAACATTTTTAATGAAAATGTTGGGCATTAAAAAATACCCGTGTCATTACTTTCATAAAAATAGTTATTATGTCTGTTTCCAAATGGCATTTTTTAAATGGCGTAAATTTTTTGCCATTATAATGCCTAGTGGAAATTCGGCATGAAGAAAATTTTCTTTGAAAAATGGTAAGGCTTTACCTTCTCAAGAGCGAAATGTCCTTTAATTCCTTAAATGTTAATCTATGTCCATAAAAAGCTTCAAAAAGTGTTTTTTATATATTTTTTGCTCTGTTATTGTTTTTATAACGGTCTAATTTCCATAGCTAAGTGTAGATGTGCTGGAACTTCGTTCAACCAGAGGCGCAACTGCCGCTAGTGTTCATGCCTTTTGGTCTCTTTGTAATCTTAATTCTTGTATAGCATTAATTAGTGAAAGTCATTTGGTAGTTGTCTCATAAAAATACTTAAGTGCAGAATTATTTTTCGTTTCCCTTGCATCTTTATGACAAATGCCAATGGGTTTCCAGTTTCATATCATAAAATATTATTGCTCGTTTAGCAGTTTACTACCCGCCCGCCTATCCAACTAAATCTGTTTGTCTAATTCGCTACATCACCTGACCAATAAAATAACTGCAATACAGCTTCTGGCAGCGAATATGTAAATAAAATCCCCCATTAGCGACTGCAGCCAACACCCACCTCTGCTTGGAATTAGTCATTTTGAGCGCACTGGCAATAAACCGAGCTAAATACATAAAATTATAGTATCTTAAAAAAAAAAAAATGCTGGTAGCTTATTTGAAGTATTTACATGCAACAAAACGATCGAAACCTTCAACTGCACTCTCTCTCAACTACTTTAACCACCTCAAGTCAATTCAATTAATACCAAAACGTTTATCTGCTCCAGGAAATGAGCGATCAGCTAACAAAATGCTTAGCGAAAAAAATATCAGCGAAATATGTAGCAAGCAAATAGCAACAAAGCGTTGTGTGTAAGCATGCAACAAATGCAAGCGATGTGCAACGAATGCGCAGAACAAGTCGAAAGCATTTGATCATAAAAATTTTTGGCCGTTGATTTGTAAATTTTTCGTTTTTTTTTTTGAATTTTTTTCTAGAGTATATAAAAACAATTAGACGCAAGTGGATGGCTTTAGAGGCAGAAATAGAAATCACCAACCACAAATAATAAACACACAAACAATTTGTATGTAGGATAATAAGCGCAGTTGCTCAGTAGGCTACTGGGTTTAAACGCTTTAGTTGGCGGCGGCTAAATTGTAGATTTGTTACAGTCAGTTTGGAGCCTAGCGTGGCGGCAGTGTGGCAGTTAAAATTGCCGCCACCTGGATTACATACAGCAGCAGTCGTACAGCAGTCACATGCGCAAATGTTGCAAGAAACAATGGAGTTAATATATATTTTTTTTTGTGTTATTTTAACTTCGCAAATAGCCGGCATGCATTTATATAAAAAACAAAAATTCGGGAGTTTTGTTTATGCAAATGCAACCAATTTTTTTTTTGTATGAATTAGTAATGGACGTTTGGCACTTATATACAACAACAACATATATTTAAACATACAAAACGGAATTGTAATCAGTTGGAATTTTATGAAACTTTACTTCTCGTTTCCCAACTGACTGCTGATGAATGCTTTCTATCTTAAAGCTTCTATAAGCTCAGCATGGGCTTATAAATTTACAAGGCTTAACGCGAATATTACTGCCACTACTATCATCTGAGTAAACTCAGCATTTTTGGT